TTTGTTTTGCTGTAAATTTCCCTACATTTGTCTAAGATCTATGGTTGGGTATGTTATTTCCAATTAGTGTTTTGTTGTATGATTTGTTACATAGCATACTTATCCACGTTACTCTAAAGATTCTATAAAAAAAATCATCATACTTTTTTCAGACCTTGAAATAACCGATATTACCGTTACACCAAGTCAAGAATTTTACACCCTGGATGGCACTACCTCGGTTGACTTCGTTATAGAGATAACAAATACTGGAATGGGACATCTGCCGCTCGACACCGGTGACAGGAACTTCCTGGTCTCAAAATACTTGACGAATAGCAGTAATTTGACTAATTGTGAAGTAAAGGTCGCGATCGCCGATTCCAATGTTAACAGTGTCACTACACAACTAACCACAAACGGCACTGAAACAATCACTGTAGTGAATGACGACGTGGAAGTTTTGATACCCACAGTGCATTGCGGGTTCACCCACGTGTGCGTGGAAGTGACGTTGGGCAGGAGACGATTTTTCAGATCCAGATTCTAGCAATAACTACCAGTGTGTTGAATTTGGTGCAAAGCGTGACGGGAAAGCGGGAAAAATACCTTGCGATATAGGTAATGACGATTTTAGTTGAAATGTTCATATTATTGAAGAAAACTAATATTTATTTTTTGTACAATTCAATCGCAGTTTTTTTGCATGCTGTACATAACAGAAAAAAATAAATGTGCATTGGAACAACGTATTATAGATACTGAAATTAAATCTTAATTACAGTCGGAATATTCATTATATTCGTGTTCTTATTACAGACATCCGGGTATCTAATTTTACAGTATCAGAACCTCAAATCGTGGCGTACATTTCAGGGGAGAGGGTTAATATAACTCTAAATATACAAGTTATTAATGATGGTGAAGACGATCTGCCTAGTTTTGTTAACCATGACAACCTTGACGTTAAATTATTGTTTAGTGACCACGCACAGTTAGATGACGCGACTCAAGACAATCTGGTCCAACTTATCTATACCGAGGTAAGAATTCAATACAGTACCAATGCTAGTAATAATAAAGAAAACATCCTCGGGTATCTGTCATATAATATTTTATAATAATTGTTCGCTACCATTAAAATTTGATCATATTAAATTATTTAAAAATTGGTGTGATGAATTACATACATGCAAGCCATTCATATTTGAAGTTTTTTAATGGGGAAAAAAGACGTGTTTACATATGCAAAACAATCCAAAAAGTGTCCATCTTGGAAAATTTCCCATAGGAATCCATGCATGTAAAAACTTTATTTTTAACTTGTACTAATATTCAAAATATTCTAAATTTTTTCGTGACAACCTTAGGTAGCCCTCATACAATTTTGAGATGTGATGGGATGTTTCTGCCATAGAAACCAATTGTAAACTACTGAAAACACGGATTTTTGGTCAATTTTCGGTGACCATACATTTTGAACATTGTAGTAACCCAACCCTTCTTGCTGGATTTCGAGGATTTCTGAGCATGTTTTTTAATGGTAGCGAACTATCTTAATATAGTGGTTCGGCACGCTACGCTGTTGCGTTTACGCGATAATGGTCAGCTGTGGAGCTATAATCGGATTATTAATGATCACCTATGTTTAACTGTATGGAAATTCAAGTTTTTGTAAACTAAATATAAAAAAAATGTATTATAATCAAATGATCTCCACAAAAAAGTAATTATTTTTCGATAACATCTTGGTGAGTATTTAATCATATACTTTATTTAACAGGAACTCGACCTGAATCAAGCTATTGACGCCGGAACCTCACTCACATTCAATGAGATCACTGCTTCAACTCTTTTACCCAGTGGTATATGTGACACTATGAACTATCTATGTACGATAGTAGAGAAACCACGTGATACTCCATATAAGGATACAGACGAAACAAATAATTACGCATGCGTGTTGTTTGGGACACAAAGCGGAGACGCTGGAGAGAAAGATTGCCAAGAACTAGGTACAGGAATATTCGTACATTTATAAACTACTGTATACCATACTTGGCCATGTGATCCTTTGTTCTAATCGTGCATTTAGAGTGTAATCGCTACAGATAACTGCACTAACAGTGGCACTCAACATGCAAGAAGGTGGCCGTAAAACTTTAAACAGTACGGCTACTCATGCGATTAACTATACATAACTTATAAGCCAGAATTGTATTAGCTACGTACCTCTACTTGTATGCTTCCGTTACCGTACAGACAGGTGCATGATAACAAAGTTATAACGAGAATTTGAGTTTTGGGGACGGGTTCCTGCAGCCGCATTATAAGTTGTGTGAATCAAATCGAATCAACTATCAATCAAACTAATTTACGAAAATCGATATACTATATGTGTGGGATTATATGATGTTCGTTGTACTGTGTATGTGATCGAATTATGTTCTCGGTCAACGTATGCCCAAATTAAATTGAATTAGCGCAATTCTGTCTATGTCGTCATTACGTATTCTTCGCCTTTCTATGTTCAGAATCATATATCTTTGGACATGATATGTTTTGTATTATCTTATGTTTTCACATTATGTTTCTTATTATTATATCATGTTTACTGTCATACAATTTTGTTTTACATATTGTTTATATTTACGTTTGTTTCAAGTAAGTGATAAGAAGCTTGACGCATCTGTGGTGTTTATATTTGCCAATTTGTCTGTTTCGCAGGTATGTATGAGGTGTTTAAACATATAAAGACAATGAGCAGTGAATTCAAGTCAGTTATTGTTTCTAGCAAAACATGTTTTATTTTGATTCATGTTTTGCATAATTGAAGTACAACTACTATTAATACCTACCTATAGTTTGTCTCGACCAATCAGAATGTTTCATTGCAGGACTTCATATACCTGAAGTGTCATGTATTCGGGTCTGGTTCGTTTCCCCGAGTCAAATCTCTTTGAAAAAAGGAATTGTCCTTTTATATACATTTGTACTCATATTTTTTTATAGAATCGAGTGAGAATAAAATAGAAATTCTGACCAGGTTCTACTTTGCTGAGAAGAATCCACCATAAATGGATTCAAACACAGAACTTGCACAATGGGCAATATATCGACATTGATATATCATAATGTCGGTCATTGACTTTTGGCATTTTCCCAGTTAGGTCATAAAGTATATTATTATGTAACACTTGAGTATAGTGTCTACCTGCCACAATTTGATTATGCAATGTCTACAAATTCCGAAAGGTCAACGATAGTTCAAACGTGTAACATATTCTATTTGAAAAATCGTAAAATGTGAAATTCGTGAAGAAATGTTGACACGGCTCACTAAAAGCCAGAAAAAAGTATGACATTCCCTCAAAGATATATATCTATAGATGGTTAGGGTGGTAAAGTTTAAGTCAGATAATCCCTCGTACTCGTGTTCTTACGGTTATAAAGTCCTTCCCCACTATAAAATAACTGCGGCCTGAACAATATTTCATGGACTGTGTATACTTTATATTCCCAAACTTGAGATTTATCCTTCACTTACTCTTCAAGTACAATAATTTCAAATAAATAATCACCACTGCTGTGAAGAATTATCGCCGATTCCGGCCTGTAAACATCTTTCTTGGAATCAATTAGAGCAGTCCCAATCCATTCCGATCAAACAGTCGTGTCCGGTGTCGGTCAATCGTGACGTAACGTGTGTAAAATACATTAATAGTGAAACTGTTTATATTTTACCAGTGGTTATATCTGACGTCAACGTTCCGTCAAGCTGTGTCTGATATCATCAATGGTTATTGCAATGACAACTTCGAAGTGTGTTGCACTGATGGAGGTCTTAAGTATGTTTTGTTCAATACTATATTTACGTCATTTATGTTGTGTTATCAAAGCATGTTGTTAAAACATGTATATGGTAATAATTATCCGACTACGCATTCACGTGTTATTGATACTACGAACCACCTGTGATCGAACATATGCATTGCAACAAACAAATACTTAACGCTTTTTGTTCACACCTTCTCCACAGGTTAGTGGATGCAGGTATAAGCACACCATCGGATGTCACGTTGGTTGGAGCACCGAGTGATGATGGAACAAACTTAAGGTAAGTTCGGTCTGCTTTTATATGCTCTGTAAACTTATCCAGCTGGATTGTTGATTATATAACGCCTAACATCTCGTCTTCGTGGTATGTTAGCATGTTAACACTCGTTTGTCCATGTTTTGTTTGTTGTCATATTTTTTTTGTAAATCCATTTTACTAATTCTACATCTAGACGTCAATGTTTGTTCACGTCATACATATAATTTACATATGTAAAGCAACTTTGCCGTATAGAGACTAACCGGTGTTTTATTGTGTTGTCAGCTATTATGCTGTATATTACTTAGTATATGGAAATTGCGCCAATTGTGTGTATATTAAAGCGCGGTGGGTGTTGCGCACCGCGTGTTCGAATTTCATGTAAATAAACAATGTATTTTACACGCGTTGTATACGTCGCTATGAGTCCCATATCGATCAGGGCGCGGCACGACGACTGCCGACCTTTAATAATGAATATACCTTAGCTTTTCCAATTATTCAAGTGACTTTGTTTCTTTCTGCCAGCAAATTATACAGTATATGACATCTTAGTAAAACATTTTGTTCTCAGAGTTGTATGCGCTGTAATTACTACGTGCCGATAATGATCTATGCTCGCAGCAACACAGGAAGCGTCGTCATTTTGACTACCGTCAACGACGTGACATACAAGACACATTATATATACCGGTTGAAATCGTAGAAGAAGCCATTCAAAACAACACTGACGATATCCAGCAGGTAAACGTCGCCGTGCTTTTGAATAAAAAGTATTATTATTTCATCTATTCAGGGACATTCAATGAACGAAAAATTAGTCGTTTTTTCCTAATTGAAACAAGCCTCTTATTTGACAAATGTACTCAATTATTAGTTTATTATAGTAGGTCATTATATTCGCCATATTGTCAGCCTTATTTACTGTAGTTGTAATGAAACTGTTAAAGAGGCGATGGCCTCGGATGTTCAAATTACGTGTAGTTAGTATGCGTAGTATCATAGGAGGGTCTATGGTAGTATATATCCTATGCAAATAAATATTCGATTTGTGGTTTTGTATATGTTGTGGTTTTGACGATGTACAAACCGGTTACAGTACTCATGCGCAGACGAGCCTGTAAATTGTGCACAATAATATGAAAATGGAATTTGAAATATATTTACTAGGCTAACGCGTATGTATGTCTCATTTTCTTTCATAGGCAATGGGGCATTCCATATTGTTGGTTACGTCACTAAGAGTAGAGTTAACTACTATGTCATCATCATCATCATCATCATCATCATCATCATCATCATCATCATCATCATCATCATCATCATCATCGCAACCAACACCGCCACCATCAACATCGCCATCAGTAACAACAATAGCAAAAACAACAACAACAACAAATACAAATACAACAACACAATCAGTTGAATCTGAAAAAGAAAACACTGAAATAGCAGCGTGGTTAATTGTCATCTTGTCAACAATTGCTGTGTTTCTCGCTGTTGCCATTGGCACAATTATCTTCCTGTTAATTCCAACAAAAAAATAGTAAGTACATATACACATCTCAGCCTTATATTTGTTCCTCGCGAATGTTATACTGTCACGGAATTGGTGAATGTTTTTATTTATAAGTTGCTGGTCGTTGCGTATGTTCAATACGTGTGTGGATGAATGCTTTAAATATTGAAGGTAAACAGTGCGACAACCGCCGCCCTTCACAGTAGAAT